CTGTTTTCCTAACATTTTTAGCATCACAGGGCTAGAGTTTAGAGTTGGAATGAACCTCAGATGTCAAATTAATTCAACCCTTTCATCTTATAGCTGAGGAAAATGAGACCCAGAGAGATGAACATTCCTAAGTGTCACTCAGGTAACTGTAACAGAGCCAAGATTCACACCCAGGTTCTCTGGCTCCAAATTCAATGCTCTTTCCATTTTGTCAGTGATGTGTAATTAAGTGCAACTGTTTTCATTATTTTCTCTATGTCTTACTATTCATTAATCTCTCATTAATGGAATAAACTGATGAGTGATGTGGATTTTAGCTTTGGGGATTACTACTTAAATCCACATTTGAGGTTATATTTTGTCAGTCAGAATTCCTTTATGTAATGATGTGTTTACACCTTTCAGTTCTCATGTTATTCAGTTCTCTGATTATATCATTAGCTTTTTCTTTTGTTAAATGCACTTTTCCTTCATACCCTTCCTTCCTCCTCAGTCTAATTCATTTGCTCCTAGATCTCCATCATTTCTTGTAATACGTGTTGCAGTGTTACTTTGATGATATGGTTTATTTATTTTGAAAAAATAAAATTTTATTGATCTTTTGTTTTTACATTGCCTAAAATTCCCCTGTATTATACTCCCTTCATCCTCCCAGAGAGTGACATTTAATAAAGAATTGAAAAGAAAAAGAAGAGGAAAAACAATCAGCAAAACTGATAATACATAGAAAAAAATTTAACAGTAAATGCAATGTTCCAGTCCCAGGGACAGCCCTAAAGGGGTGGAAGGAGTTGTGTTCTTCTTTGTGGCCCTTCTTGTTAAAAAAAAAAAATCTTGCAGTATTTATTTTTTTATTGTTTTGTGGTTCTTTCAGTTTACATTGTTGTCATCATGTATACTGTTTTCCTGGCTCAGATTCCTTCACTTTTCATTAATACATGTAATTTTTTCCAGTGTTCTATATTTATTATATTTGTTGGTTTTCTTACAGCATAGTAATATTCCATTATATTCATATACCACAATTTGTTTAGCCATCCCCCAATCGATAGGCATCTACTTTATTTCCAGTTCTTTGCCACCACAAAAAGTATTGCTATAAATATTTTGATGTATATGGGACCTTTTTATCAATGATACCCTTGGGGTATATGCCCTAAGATCTAACATATCCATCCTTAGCCTCTCCTCCGAGCTTCAGTCTAATGCTTCTCATTGACTACTGGACGTTTTAGACTGGAGAGATGCTCTACCACTATCTCAAACTCAACATTCCTAAGGCTGAATTTATCTTCTTTCTCCCACCCCAAGCTCACCTTTCTTCCAACATTCCCTGTTTCTATCAAAGACACCACCATTATTTCTGATCTCCCAATCTGTAATTTTGACGTTATCCTTGGTTCCTCCTTCTTACTCTTCCAATCTGTAAACATCCAATAAATTGCCACCTCTGTTTCTACTTTCACAACATCTCTTTCATCCCACCCCTTAGTTAAAATCATCATTACTTCTTGCCTAGAATCATTATTACACAGGCTTCCTTGTTTCAGGACTCTCCTCATTTTAGTGGTTCCCAGTTGTCTCTAGAATAATGTATAAACTCTTTTGTTTAGCTTTTAAAGTCCTTCATGGCCTGGCCATAAACTCTTATTTCCAGCATGGTTGAAGCTGGCCTTTTCTCTGTTCCTCACACATGGCACTCCATCTCTCATCTCCATATCTTTGTGTTGGCTTCCCCCCATGCCTATAATGCACTCCCTCTTCACCTTTGCTGCATAGAATCCCTAGATTCCCTCAAGATGCTGCAGGAGCAACACCTTCTTCATGAAGCCTTTTCTTATTCTCTTAACTGCTAGTATCCTTCCTCTCACACTATCTTGTATTTATATCAAAAGAATATGTGATCATCTGTTGCTTAGAAGTATCACCACACCATTGGCTCTGATTCTTCTTTCACAACAAGACTAGTATGGAAACGTGTAGCCCATATCAGATTTCATACTGTCTTGAGGAGGGTGGAGGGTAGGGAGGGGGGAAAATTTAGAACTCAAAATCTTATAAAAGTGAATGTTTAAAACTAAAAATAAATAAATTTAAAAAAGAAAAAGGAAGAAGTATCATCACATATTCCTATTTTTGCAGCCATTATTCCTTATTTTGCTCTTGTAATGGTCTTTTGTGTTGATACTCTTCTACCTTTCCATAAGTTTTCCAATTTAGACTTGTTTTATTTTATAAAAATTTGTCAATTTTAGGGTGATGTTTTGTTCTGCAAAGTTATAGAGCAGATGAGTAGAATTCACGGCATTAGTGATTGAATTGTCCTTTCCAGGAATGGTGTTGTTAATTTGATTACTATTCCCCAAGATAGAAAGGAGAGAATGTGCATGGTGGCACGGCGGGAAGATGGTCAGAGTGCCTCATAGTGGTTGTAGGGGTTCCTAGATACATGGTGCACTTTTTTTTTTTCAGAGTAATTTCTTTTGTTTTGTTTTATTTATTTATTTATTTTTGGTGAGGCAATTACAGTTAAGTGACTTGCCCAGGGTCACATAGCTAATAAGTGTAAAGTATCTGAGGGTGGATTTGAACTCAGGTCCTCCTGACTCCAAGGCCAGAGCTCTATCCACTGCGCCAGCTAGTTGCTCCCATGGTGCACTTTCACCAACAAGGAGTGCCAGGCAGAGAGGAGCTGGCCTGCCTAATTGGAGGCAGAGAATGGAGTATATCAGAATGGTGGGAAGATTGGTGAGTAAAATGCTGGGCACTGGAGTGCCTCATCTATTAAACAGGGATAGCAACAATAATTCTCACTTTGTTCACACAACAACCCTATCAGGGAGTTCAGGTATCATTGTGTCAATTTTATAGATAAAAAATCTGGGGGCAGCTAGGTGGCTCAGTGGATAGAGCACCGGCCCTGAAGTCAGGAGGACCTGAGTTCAAATCTGACCTCAGACCAAACACTTGACACTTACTAGCTGTGTGACGCAAGTCACTTAACCCCAATTGCCTTAAAAAAACAAAAAAAGAATCTGGGGCTCAGAGAGGTAAAGTGACTTGCCCAGAGTTGCACCCATAATAAGTCTGAATCTGGACTCAAATCCAAGCCTTTCTGTCTCCAAGACCAATAATATTCTTTACATTATATCAGGTACCTCTTACCTACCCCATAGACTTCTTGTGAAGATCAGATTAAATGTGGGAGATTCAGAAAATGCTATACAAATGATTATTTTTTTATGAACTTCTCACCAGGATACTGCTTGATGTGAGGAGTGGAGTATTGAAATGTAAGCAAATGGAATGCCGTGAGGGTAGTTTCCCTCCCACCCTCCACACCACCCTCTTAGGGAGACTAGAACACTTGAAGAAATCCTAAAATGAATTAATTTATATTTATTTTAAATAGGAAACATTCCTTAATTTCTTCAGTTGTTAGATTTTTATTGAAGGTGAATACCATCTTAAAAAAAATCACCATTCCTCTTTTCCCCTCTTTATTCGGTGGCATTTATTTATTTACTCTTTAGACTGGGAGACTGCAAATTGGGTTAATTGGGAACCAGATACTCTGGAAAGAGCCAATCAACTCCTAGCAGTTCAAGCCTGAAGAAGATTAAACTCATTAGCAAGTCACTGGAATGTTGCTTTAACCCCCAGGTTAGGTAGGACAGGTTGGTTTAATATTACCTCTGTTATCCTGGATTGTGCTTTAGCCTCATTTGTCTATTAATATCCTAGCCCAAAGTGGGCTATTAATTTATTCAAGAATATACCCCCACCCCACCCCAAAAAAGACATCGGGCCTAACTAGATGTCTAGACTAGTCAGCTACCTGACCAGTTGGTTAACAACCTGTATCTCCAGTCCCAAATGAGCCTGTGATGAAAGTCATTGGGCTTAATGAAGACCAGGTTACTTGCATCATAGGGAAAGCCAAAGGTAAGTTACTTAGAGAGAGGGATAAATTTCAGGTGTTATGATTTGGCAGAAGAAAAAATCAACTGAAACGAGGCCCTTCCCTCCCTCCTCAGTTTTTTTGGATTCATCTTTTTTTACCTAGTTTACACCCATTGGTCTTAAGAAAGGATATGATATTTGATAGTAATTCCTACACTTTTCAGAATTTGTCATTGTAACCTCTGTGGGGGATGATGTATTTACTTTGAAAGCCTCTTGTCTACTTTGAAAAGACTTCCCCTGCCCCCACCACGCTAAGGATAATTACCTGCACTTGGGGATTCCTGAGGCAAATGTGGTTGGTTCACTTTTAGGCTGAAGGGCAAGAGCTCTTCTTTGACCTAGTATATGACCTTAATTCCTCACCACCTTATTGGGACAACTGCAGTCTCTGAATTTTGAGTTCCTTCTGAGAGGGATAAGTAAGAACTCAGTACTCATGGTACTCTCTTACTGCTAGATGGATTTTCCTGATTCCTTTTCTTCTAATGAGGCATTTGGAGTTAAGTGACTTGCCCAGAGTCACATAGCTAGTAAGTATCAAGTGTCTGAGACCGGATTTGAACTCAGGTCCTCCTGACTCCAGGGCTGGTGCCCTATCCTCTGCATCATTTAGCTGCCCAGGTTTTCCTGATTCCTAACTCAACTACCCATTCCTTAGGTATGTGCGTGGGGTAGGCATTTAGATGTGATGGCACATAGTAGAGGACTGAAAGATTCAGGTGCCTCCTCTCATCAGTATACAGGGTGAGTCTGCTTTGAATTGATTCCAACCTAACATTTAAGTAAGTACAGGCCTGTCTCACCTAACCTATTGGCTCCATTAAACAAAAATACTAAGTGAAACATTTTTTAGGGGAGGGTAATCTCAGACTCTTCTCCCCAGAGGAACAAATAAATGGAAAGTGCTGAGACCTAGTGTGAAAGGAGGAGGGTAATGTATTGAAACTGATTGATTAGAGTGGTAGCTTAAAGGTTCAGAAGCCATGCATCACAGACTAGAGAAAGTGAACAGTTAATTTACCTTGAATTTCCAGAAATTCACCTGTGGCAGAGGGAGGCAGCAGTAAACAGCACCTGGGATTGAGGAGTGAAGAACCAACTCAAACGGGGCACCTGGGCTGGACTCCGGGCATTCCTGATGGAAGGTAGGAATTGCTTATGATGTATTATCTATGTTATTATAAGTCACTATTGTTGGCTGCTGTATTTTACAGGATATGTGAGTAAAGAAAACCATTCCAGCATGTGTGTAATTTTGTTGTTATTGTTGTCGGGTCCTCTTCTTCCACTTTAATGACAATGGTCATTAAAGAATGAAATTTGCATTGTCTTCTAAGTTATGACTACTCCAGACCTAATGTTTGAGGCTACCTTGCTGGGGCCTAGTCCTTTGCCTGAAAACCTCACCAATTCATCAGCCGAACTAGGCTTGGCTAGTAGGTTCTCTTTTCTCTTTCTATAAAGTGTTAGTTTTTTGAACCATGGAATCATAGGTTTACACCTGGAAGGGAACTTAAAGATCGTTTCCCTCCCCCTCATTTTGCAAATGAGGAAACTGAGGTTCAGAGAAGGGAGATGACTTGGTGGTGGTAACTAGCAGAGTTAGGATTTGAAACTAGGTCCCTCAACTCCAGTGTATTTTGTACTGATTCCCAGATGGCCATCACTTTTGCCCACACATCTCTAGTACCTTGCTCTGAACAGTGAAGGTAGGGGGTCTTTAGATGCTCATGCAGTCACTTTAAAGGATAAAGGTTCAGGTATCAAGTTAATGTCATAGCCCCATTTTGTTCCTCCACAGAAGGGGCTTAAAAACTGATTTAAGGTCGTAGAATACAGATGTTACAATCTTTTTACTGTGGGACAGAAACAGCAGCCAAGCAAAGGACAGAAGTTTACTTTTATCGATGCAACACATGAAAGGTTGTATCTTCTTGTGGAAAGATCCCTGGGCTCGAAGTGAGGAGATGTGTGTTCAGATGCCATATGATGTTCACTAACTAGTTACCAGTCTGTGGGCTTTGCTCATCTGTAAAACAATCTAACTGACAGGGTTAGTATGAGGAAATAGTTTTGTAAACCTTAAAGTGCTATATATAAAGGTTAGTAGTTTCAGTAACAGTGTAGTACACATTCCCCCTTCTGTATCATCATTATGCATTACAGGCAAATTACTATCTGTTTTCCTTTTCTCTGAAATGAAAAAATATACTCAGTTCCCATTCTCGCTTGTCTCTGGCGTTGGACTGACTAGTTTTCAGAAGAACTGGTTTCTCATTCTTCCTTTGCACAGCTCTATGACCATAGGCAAGTCACTGTATAGCCTCTATAAAATGAAGGCATTGGATTATGTGATCTTGGGCCTTTCTAGCTACTAATATAATTTATCACAGACATAAGGATTAATGAATGAATCCAGAATTTTAACTACTTTGAGAAAGTTACTACATAAAAATATAGTATTGCAGTTATCAGGAACATTGGTATTAATGGAAAGATTTTGAGTTGAGTGTAATGCTGACTAAACTGATATCCAGGATTCAATTTGGGTTTCTCTATTTTGCTTATGAAAATTTGAGTCTAAGCATGCAGATATGGAGAAGAGGAAGTTTTTGCTTTATACTTTTTTTTAACCAATTGTCTAAAATGTTCCAAATGGCTTTAAGTTTATACCACAGTAATAACACAGTACAGTTTATATTTCACTTAGTAAGTTTGGTTGACATTCTATATAATATTTATTTTTAGATTGATAGGTTTAAATGTAATTATGGTCATAAATGCATTTATTTGATATATAACCCAGACCCTTGTTGTTTATTATCTTTGGCTACCTGGAAGAATGATGTGTAGCATAACATGGATTCCAAGAGTGTTTACAGAAAGGTTGTATTTTCAGGCAGTGTGGTAGAGTGAATCTGAATTTTTGTGGTAAGAAAGTTTTTTAGCGTTTTGATTTTGTGGTTATTACCTTGAAAATTTTCTCCCCTTACCCTTCTTTTTAGGCTAAGTAAGAAAGGCATCATTCTAGATTCTTTTACAACCTCCAAGCATATTGATAATCAAAGGTAACTTCTTACTTCCTGATTTCCATGAAAGATTGTTGGCTGAAGAACAGTTTTTAATTGGATCTATAATATAGAAAAGACTGATAGCATTACGTTGTCACTTACACCTCCATCCAATGCTGATCTTCAACTAAACCCACAGAATCAGGGAAGAAGGGTGGGACCTATATTCTATCCCACTTAATCATATGAACCCAAATTCAATTACTATAAAGTCATAGAGATTTAATGAAGGAATCCATGTATTCAAGGAGAGAAAGGAGGTAACTTTAAATGAATCAAGGGACCCCTTTATTCTTGACTGGAAAGGAAATGAGTTCACATAATAGAAAAAACCCTTGTAATAGGCACCATGCCCAGGAATGGTGCTTAGATTCCAAATGCAGTTTTCTGATACATTTTAATTTGAATTTGCAGACTTTTGGATGTCAGTGTACTTTGCAAGGAAATGTGTAATGCTGTGAGAGAGACAGAGGCTAATTGCCCTGCTATTTTCCTTGGTGACTCAGGTAAAGCAGAGACATTGATTTCATGCCTAGGTTGTGTGAGGCCTTGACTAGCTTCTTGCATAATGGTTTTGGGGCCTTTGATGCTGCTTACAGTGTTTTTGGTAACTTTAATCAGTCTAATGTGTTTTAGTGCCTTTGCTGTACAAAGTATTCTATTTTAAATTGACTAAAGTTAGAGAGGGCTCAGAACTTTCCAGGTAAATCTCCATTTTCCATCAGTTCCCATGCTGGTTACCCCCAAGTCTCCCACCCCTCCTTTTCAGCTTCCTTTTGTGTATTATTTTCCCCGAATTAGATTAGTAAGCTCCTTTCTGGGTAAGAACTGCCTTTTTCTTAATTGTATCCCCAGCACAAAGTCTAGTATATAGTAGGTGCTTAATAAATGTTTGTCGAATTGAATGAATCCTCTAAAATTACCATGGGTCATATCAGTGATTAGAATTCCTTAGTCTTTTAAATTTTTTGTCTTTACAGTATTGATATAATATGAATTATTTCACAATTCTGCTTCCTTTACTCTGCATCAGCTTTTACAGGTCTTCCTAGGATTCTCTGAAAGTCTCCATCATTTCTTATCGAACAACAGTATTCAGTCATAATCATATGTTATAACTTATATAGCCATACTCCAATTGATGAGTACTCCCTCAATTTTCAATTCTTTGCTATCACAAAAAGAGCTACTATAAATATTTTCGTACATATGAGTCTTTTTCTTCTAGTAGTTACTATGTTGTTATTCAGTCATTTTGGTCATGTCTGACTCTTCATGACCCCACTTAGGGTTTTCTTGGCAGAGATACTGGAGGGGTTTACATTTTCTTCTCCAACTCATTTTACAGATGAGGAAACTGAGGCAAAAAGAGTTAAATGACTTGCCCAGGGTCACATAACTAGAAAGTGTGTGAGACCAGATTTGAACTCAAGAAAATGAGTCTTCCTGACTCTGGACTCTGTACTGGATCCACTGAGCCACCTAGCTACCCCTAGTAAGTAGTTACTGTAACTGCTTACTAAAAGTGCTTTCAAGTCCCAGACCTTTATTACTCCTTTGACATGGTATCAGAGTTTAACAGTTTGCTAATCTGAACCATCCATCTGTGTAATAACTATTTGCTATACCAAAATGCAAACTAATATCTTATCATTTAATGTAGAATAAGAAAAAGGAGATGCTCAGATTCCTAATCTTGGTTCCCTCCAAGACTAACAAAAAATAAGCAATCTGAGTTTTTTAGGGAGGTTCCTTTTGGAACGGTGGAGACTAGAAATCACCAAAGTCAGGGATTAGCTATCAAAGGTAAACAAGAGAAGAGAATTAGTATGAGAAATTCTCACTCTTATAGACTTTTCTTGCTCATCACTACTAACCCTGCCAGGGACAGCACTCCTCCTTCTGCTGGGGTCTTGCCCTATTCCAAACCCTGGTTCTGCTCATTGTTAAATAAATTCTCATAGGATAAAGAATTTTTTTATTCTTTTCTTGGAGTTCAATGTTCTTCTAAAGAGAGCTTTCAGTTTTTAGTCTCCATTTCTGCTTCATGGTTACTGACTAAAGTGAGTCACTATTGTTAACCTTTATATAAATGAAGGGAGAAAGAAAGTCGTTTGTGGCTTACAGTTGGCAGGATGAACTAGTGATCTCAGTAATAGAGGCTTTGTAGAGTTTACAGATCCAGATGAAAAGAAACATGGAAAATTACTTTGACCATCACAGAATTGTAAGAACTATAGAGCTTGGAAGGGACCATAGCGATCGCCTCCATTGCCCTTATTAGACAAAATGACTTCCATAATTTTCACTCCGTGTTCAAGAAGGAAGATTCGTTTTCATAGACTTCTATTATTGCAAACTGACAGGAACCAGGAAATTCCAGATTATCTCTGCACTGGCCACTTCCCACAGTGAGCACAATACCCTTTCTACTTGGTCAGTAGTCTATAACTCCCCTTCTCCCAAAAAAATTTTGGCCAAAACTAGACTAAAGTTAAAGAACTCGCCTAACCCAGCCCAGGGCTTTCTTGGAGAATCAGTTTCCTTAGAAGGTCTGTACCACTGGGGACCCCTCTGGCTCCACGTACTCCTTCTTTCTCTGTAAGCCAACTCCCTTTAGGGGTGAGATCACTTTTGGATCATCTGGGAGTGGGATTCAGTCTGCAGCTCTAATTATTTGGGGTTGGCTAGTAGCAGATAGTTGGTGGCGGTGATATATTGACACCGCACTATCTAATGCTGTGATTTTTGTATCTAAGTATAAAGGCTTTTAGCAGCTAGATGGCACAGTGGATAAAGCTCTGGGCCTGGAAATCAGGAAGACTCATCTTGAGTTTAAATCTGGCCTCAGAAACTTATTAGCTATGTGACCCTGGACAAGTCATTTAACCCTGTTTGTCTCAGTTTCCTTACCTATAAAACGAGCTGAAGAAGGAAATGCAAACTACTCCAGTATCTCTGCCAAGAAAACCCCAAATGGAGTTCTGAAAAGTCAAACACAACTGAACAACAACAAAATAAAAGCTTTTATCTGGGCCAGAGGTTAAGGGGCCTCTAACTTTTGGGTCAAAGCA